ATCTTACTAACTCCTCTTAATGGTAAAATAATTACCATATTTGAAGTTATCATTATGAAATCGTCGATCTTTACTGTTTTGTCAATAAACCTTATTATTATTATCCGTTATTTTATGTCGTACTAATCGATCCTCGGTTTTTGTAAAAAAAAAAAATGCTTGATTTAATGAATGAAAAAAATGATAATGAAATTATCAAAGAAAAGGAAGAGGAGTTTTTGTGCAAATGGGGATCTTGTAAAGAAAAATTCCAATCAATGATTTTATTATGGAAACATGTTGAACAACATATTGATAATACTAAACATAGATTTGTGCGTTTATTCACTGATGATTATGATGATGAAGAAGAAGTAACTAATGCTAATGCTAATGCTACCACCGCCACCGCCACCACCACCATCCCCATCACCACCACAGATGTTGGTATATTAAATTTTATTTTTGTTGGCGATGATAAATTCTATTTTTCATTTTTAAAGAAATGTTATTTATTTGATTTCATATCTAACCTTATTAGAAAAAGTTCTTTCATCACCACCGTCCCATCTAATAGATGATAATAATAGTAATCAAAAAACTAATAATAATAATAATAATAATAGTAGTAGTAGTAGTAATAGTAGTGGTGTTAATAGTATTAGTGGTAGTAATATTAGTAATAGATTGTCACCAACGTCACCTCCTATAATTGGTGGTAGTAGTAGTAATAGTAATATTAGCAGCAGTAGTAATAATCAAAGCCATGATATTGGTATAAATATTTTACCCAGAGTGCAATCAATGGGCTGGAAGAAGTCTATAAATAGTTCACAAGATTATGTTGTACTTGACAAGGAAAGCTACAACAACAAAGAAAGTTACAACAGCAATTATAGTTTTAATAGCAAAGAAAGCTATAATATCAAGGATGCATTTAATTTTAATAACAAGGAAGGCTATAATGAAATTCAATATTCGCCTCCTTCATCTATCACACTTTCACCTTCAACTCCAACATCAATGACATCAACACATTCAGTAGACTTAAAACAAAAAAAAAGGAAAAGTTTTGATAAATTCAAACTTTTTAGATCTTCTTCAACTGAATGTGTTGAAACAATTCACACCACCAATCCCCATCATCATCATCATCGCTACAACACTGACCCTTATAGTGATGACTTGGCCTCAATTTCAATTTCAATTTCAAATACAAAATCAACAGCATCAGCTGATCCAAATTCAAGTTCAAATTCATTTTTCAATAAAAATCAACCAAAGATAATTCAAGCAGCACGTTATTCAACAG